CCCATAGTGTAGTAGGTAGTAATAAATGAATTTATTCCAGAAATAGCATTCCAAATAGTTAAAATGACACAGCAATAAAAACGGACTGACCGTCCATAAGTAAGATGGCCGCCGGACCTTCATGAGGCTCCGGCAGAGTGGCGTCATGTATTGGCTCTCCCTTACGCGTTTCGTGCCAAGGATGCCAAACTAGTGGCAATACGATGCAATGGTGGAGATACACAGGCAACAGTTGGGCATGGGTGCCGATGTTGCATCTCCAACGCCCTTACTTATACACCACATATTCCAACGTGAGGGCCCCCCTAGCATCTCCCTTTGGAATAGTAACTCTGGCATGACTAATCTTTCAACCAAATAGTATGCAGGCTAGACCCGGCAACCCAGTGTCATGATAATCATATCAGAGTCACTCTCGTGACAACATTGTTCTGCATCTCTCCAGACTACTTACCAATGCCTTGCACTACTTATGACATCATTGACTTTGCGACCCTACCCTAAGCCCCTCCCCTTTCCTACATCCAATCCCCTTTCCCAAACAACCCACCCATCTGAATACAGCTACTCCCACTGTCAGGCTGATACGACTTTGAAAGGCTCTCAGGCACTATGGATGAGATTTCTGATTTGCGTCACTCTCTTCTGCTGGTTATTCATGTCAGCATTTGGAAAAAAAGGGGAGTAAATCCATTCTGCCGCCTTTTTAAATTACTTTCTGTTTAACAAACATTTTCACTGCCGGGGGATAGAAAAAAATAACACATCTACATCAAAAGTAAAGTAAAACAACATTGTTGGAGCAGAGCTGCAGGTCAGGCGAGGGTTTGATAATGAGCAGTTTAGTGACAGGTGTGCGTCTCTGGGTTTGACACGTGAGAAAGCGTTGGGGGGGGGGGGGGGTCGGTACGCGGCGCGGATAATAACGCGGCCTGTTTATATAACACAAACTGCAGCTCTAACTGGCAGGATGAAAGGGCTCAGTCCCCAGGCTCCGGCTCTTCTGACTGTCAGGCGGGATGCTGTGTGAGTGATGCTTCGTCTAGCGCTGTCTCACCACTATGAATTATTAACATGTATTTCCAGCGCATACGACGTCTTCTTCACCTGGGCTCTGCGGGCGATGTGAGCAGGAATAGTCAACACCCGTCCAATATATTTATTAACTGTAAGGAGGCACCAGCACATCAAAGGACCAATATAGGGTTGTATGGGGTTAATACATAGTGACAGTGCTGGGGCCCACCACTGCGTAAAAAGAGGTAAACGGCGCACAAGATTCTCAAGGGTGCAGATTAAGAGGTTCCAGAATGACTGTTATGATCAGAGAAAATTGGATTTTTGGTCTTGTCATTCCCGGATTGGGTTCTGGAATCCAGAGGCTTCAAAGAGGACAGGGAGGGAAGACGCTTCTAACTTTTGTGTTCATGATTTACCCCGTGCATTGCAGGTTCTGGAATCCAGAGGCTTCAGAGAGCTCTGAGAGCGAAGATGTCTCTAACCTTTGTGTTCAGGATTTACCCCGTGCATTGTGGGTTCTGGAATACAAAGGCTTCAAAGAGCTCTGGGAAGGAAGACACCTCTAACCTTGGTGTTCAGGATTTACCCCGTGCATTGTGGGTTCTGGAATACAAAGGCTTCAAAGGGCTCTAGGAAGGAAGACACCTCTAACCTTGGTGTTCAGGATTTACCCCATGCATTGCTGGTTCTGGAATACAAAGGCTTCAAAGGGCTCAGGGAGGGAAGACACCTCTAACCTTGGTGTTCAGGATTTACCCCATGCATTGTGGGTTCTGGAATACGAAGGCTTCAAAGGGCTCAGGGAAGGAAGACACCTCTAACCTTGGTGTTCAGGATTTACCCCGTGCATTGTGGGTTCTGGAATACGAAGGCTTCAAAGGGCTCTGGAAAGGAAGACACCTCTAACCTTGGTGTTCAGGATTTACCCCGTGAATTGTGGGTTCTGGAATACGAAGGCTTCAAAGGGCTCAGGGAAGGAAGACACCTCTAACCTTGGTGTTCAGGATTTACCCCGTGCATTGTGGGTTCTGGAATACAAAGGCTTCAAAGGGCTCAGGGAAGGAAGACACCTCTAACCTTGGTGTTCAGGATTTACCCCGTGCATTGTGGATTCTGGAATCCAGAGTCTTCAGAGAGCTCTGAGAGTGAAGATACCTCTAAACTTTGTGTTGAGGATTTACCCAGTGCATTGTGGGTTCTGGAATACAAAGGCTTCAAAGGGCTCAGGGAGGGAAGACACCTCTAACCTTGGTGTTCAAGATTTACCCCGTGCATTGTGGGTTCTAGAATACAAAGGCTTCAAAGGGCTCAGGGAAGGAAGACACCTCTAACCTTGGTGATCAGGATTTACCCGTGCATTGTGGGTTCTGGAATACAAAGGCTTCAAAGGGCTCTGGGAAGGAAGACACCTCTAACCTTGGTGTTCAGGATTTACCCCGTGCATTGTGGGTTCTGGAATATGAAGGCTTCAAAGGGCTCTGGGAGAGAAGATGCCTCTAACCTTTTGTGTGCAGGTTTTACATGAGACCAGCAGGCTGTGTGTGTATTAGTGCTCAGCTGTTGTAAACAAGGGGCTGACAGTAATTCAGGATCCATCCAGGAGACAGGTGGTCACCTTGACCGAAGGTCAAGGTGTGGGCCAGAGCAGTAGGGAGCTGCAAAAAAAAGAGCGGAGGGAGCAGCAAGAAAGGTACAGAGGTCGCACATGAGAAATTGGGTTTTGTTTTCTCCAGGTTTTGTTATTCCTGGATTGGGTTCTGGCGTCCACAGGCTTCAAAGAGCTTTGGGAGGGAAGAAGCCTGTAACGTTGTGTCCAGATTTTACCAGAGCCCAGCAGGCTGTGGGTGTGCAGGGGTGCACAGCTGTTATAAACAAGAGGCTGTCGGTAATTCAGGGCTGCACCCGAGAGGTAGGAGGACCCCTGCGGAAAGGTGTAGGCTCTTTCCTCCAGGTTTTGTTGTTCCTGGTTTGGGTTCTGGAGTCCAGAGGCTTCAAAGAGCTTTGGGAGCATTTAACCTTGTGTTCAGATTTTACCAGAGCCCAGCAGGCTGTGGTAGTGCAGGGGTGCAGAGCTGTTATAAACAAGGGGCTGACAGTAATTCAGGACTCCACCCAGGAGACAGGCGGTCCTCTGCCCAAAGGCCAAGGTGTGGGCCAGAACAGCAGGGAGCTGCAAAAAAAAAAGCTGCGAGAAAGATGCAGAGGATGCACATGACCAAATTTAGACCCTTATCTGGTCCTTGGGGCATTATTCCTCCCACTTGTACAAGAAACTGTTCCTCCTACTGACACCTACAGTGGGACACTATTCCTTCCACTGACACCTACAATGGGGCACTATTCCTTCCACTGACACCAATGATGGGGGCACTATTCCTTCCACTGACACCAATGATGGGGCACTATTCCTCCCACTGACACCAATGATGGGACACTATTCCTCCCACTGACACCTACAATGGGGCACTATTCTTTCCACTGACACCTACAATGGGGCACTATTCCTTCCACTGACACCAATGATGGGGCACTATTCCTTCCACTGACACCAATGATGGGGCGCTATTCCTCCTACTGACACCTACAATGGGGCGCTATTCCTTCCACTGACACCTATAAAGGGGCACTATTCCTTCCACTGACACCTACAATGGGGCGCTATTCCTCCTACTGACACCTACAATGGGGCACTATTCCTTCCACTGACACCTACAATGCGGCACTATTCCTTCCACTGACACCTACAATGGGGCACTATTCCTTCCACTGACACCTACAATGAGGCACTATTCCTTCCACTGACACCTACAATGAGGCACTATTCCTTCCACTGACACCTACAATGGAGCACTATTCCTTCCACTGACACCTACAATGAGGCACTATTCCTTCCACTGACACCAATGATGGGGGACTATTCCTTCCACTGACACCTACAATGGGGCACTATTTCTTCCACTGACACCTACAATGGGGCACTATTCCTGCCACTGACACCTACAACGGGGCACTGTCACGCTTACCCCAAAGCAGGTGGTCAGGCTCTATAACTGGCTTCTGTGTACTTCACCTATAGCAGCCCCCTTTCCCAATACCCTATTGGTACTCGGTTGCCCCCAGGATTTATACAGAATGCTATAATGTCTGGCTACCATGCCAGGGCAAACGCAAACTGAGCACAGCAAACAGGTACCTATGGTTGGCAGACAGGCAGAGTGATTCAATGACAGTCCAGGTACAAGGCAGGCAAGGTTCAGGATGTTCCGGGTCAGATCTGTAGTCAAAATTCAGGCTTCAGAATGTGGTCGGTATGCGATCCGAGGTCGTCAATGAGGGAATCCAGACTAGCAGGATAGGCAGACAAACAGGGAGTTTGGAGCACGTGATACAAATGCAGTATCACAAGTATAAGACTGCAGGCTTGGCTGGCTTAAATCAGGTTTGGTCTCCATCCAGAAACTGATCATATATCAATCACCTTGCAGGTAGACAGACAGGGAGAATCTATCACAAACACCAATGATGGGGCACTACTCCTCCCACTGACACCAATGATGGGGCACTATTCCATCCACTGACACACCAATGATGAGGCACTATTCCTTCAACTGACAGCAATGACAGGGCACTATTCCTCCCACTGACACCAATACTGGGCACTATTCCTCCCACTGACACCAATGATGGGACACTATTCCTCCCACTGACACCAATGATGGGGACACTATTCCACCCACTGATACCAATGATGGGGCACTATTCCTTCCACTGACACCAATGATGGGGCATGATTCCTCCCACTGACACCAATGATGTGGCACTATTCCTCCCACTGACACCAATGATGGGGCACTATTCCTCCCACTGGCACTAACAATGGGGTACTATTCCTTCCACTGACACCAATGATGGGGCAATAATCCTCCAACTGACACCAATGATGGGGCACTATTCCTCCCACTGATACCAATGATGGGACACTATTCCTCCCACTGACACCAATGATGGGACACTATTCCTCCCACTGACACCAATGATGGGGCACTATTCCTCCCACTGACACCAATGATGGGACACTATTCCTCCCACTGACACCCATGATGGGACACTATTCCTCTCACTGACACCCATGATGGGGCACTATTCCTCCCACTGACACCAATGATGGGGCACTATTCCTCCCACTGACACCAATGATGGGGCACTATTCCTCCCACTGACACCCATGATGGGACATTGTCCCTCCCACTGACACCAATGATGGGACACTATTCCCCCACTGACACCCATCATGGGACATTGTCCCTCCCACTGACACCAATGATGGGACACTATTCCTCCCACTGACACCCATCATGGGACATTGTCCCTCCCACTGACACCTTTCTGTGCACACCATTACGCTCGCTTTCCCACAACGCACACGTGTGAATGTAGCCTAACACTCGGTGTCACTGTTCCGCAGCCCATTCCTGGTTTTCCTGACCTCCCGATAAATGGAACAATGTAACCACAACCCTTTGTAATACCGTCAGAAGTAAATGTATTATTAGTATCATTTGTGCGCCGCGCCGGCTGGGAGGTGAAGTGTCTCCTTTATTGGCTGAACACTCCGCCAGTACAATGTCCCATTAGATCCGTCTTCTCCTCTTCACAATCGGCCCTAATTGTGGCCCTTTCAGCGCCTTCTATCATTTCCCCGGGAGGAGCTCGGTCGCATCAATTCTCCCATTATAATATCACAGGGAGATGGGATCAATGGCGGGCGATGGAGCCGAAGCAGGACCACGTCGGAGGAGACACGCCTCGTCATTAGGCCCAGGAAATCGCTCTATTTAGTGATGTCCCTTTTATACGGAGGAGATCGATGACACCTGATGGAGAAGGCGGTTAGCCGTAATTATGGAGCTCATTCCAAATGAACGCCTTTGTGATCACAAGGAGACGATCGCTTCATTTCCGCAGAGACCCCACCTTGTGATGGGGAGCTTATCAGAGTCTCTCCCACAGAAACTTCCAGCAAAACGGAAGAGTAGCTGAAGTCCAAACTTGTTTATTTCTTTATTTGGTGGGGGGGGTGAGAAACCTGCCCCCCCACTCCCAGTGTGTACCCAGCTAAGGGGGGACTCTGATGTAAAGAGGTCACTGAGGGGGACCCTGATGTGAGGGGGACTCTGATTGGGACCTTGAAGTAGGGGAGACTCCAATGGGGACTCTGAAGTAAGGGAGGGGATCTGATGGGGACCCTGAAGTAAGAGGGGACTCCAATGGGGATCCTGATGTAAGAGAAACTCTGATGAGGACCCTAAAGTAAGAGGGGAATCCGTTGGGGACCTTGAAGTAAGGGGCGACTCTGATGGGGACCCTGATGTAAGGGGAACTCTGATAAAGTAAAAGGGTATTCCAATGGGGACCCTGAAGCAAGGGAGGGGATCTGATAAAGACTCTAAAGTAAGGAGGAACTCTGATGTAAAGTAAGGGGGGACTCTGATGGGACCCTCAAGTAAGGGAGACTCTGATGGGGACCCTGAAGTAGGGGAGACTCCAATGGGGAATCTGAAGTAAGGGAGGGGATTTGATGGGGACCCTGAATTAGGGGAGACTCTGATGGGGACCCTTAAGCAAGGGAGGACTTTGATAGGGACCCTTATGTAAGGAGGGGGGGGGGACGTAAGGTGGACATGATGTAATGGAGGACTCTGGGGGACATGGGGAACATGAAGTAATGGGGAACTCTGGAGGACATGGGGACATGATGTAATCGGGGACTCTGGGGGACATGATGTAATGGGGAACTCTGGGGGACTATGGCGGACATGATGTAATGGGGGACTCTGGTGGACATGATGTAATGGGGAATGGGGGACATGATGTAATCGGGGACTCTGGGGGACATGATGTAATGGGGAACTCTGGGGGACTATGGCGGACATGATGTAATGGAGGACTCTGTAATGGACATGGGGGACATGATGTAATGGGGGACATGGGGGACATGATGTAATGGGGGACATGATGTAATGGGGGACTCTGGGGGACATGACATGTAATGTGGGACTCTGGGGGACATGATGTAATGGGGGACTCTGATGTGAGCAGAGAATCATAAGGTGGACTCAGATATAATGTGGGACTCCTAGGGAAGACTCTTGTGTATGGGGGGGGCTTTACTTTGTTTTATTGAAGTCCTCTCATATTGGTCCGTCACACTGATCCAAGTAAAACATATTTATATAATTATTATTGATTTCTTCCTGTCATTGTGTGAATGACCCCCCCTTCCCCCATACCATGGACTGACCCCCCCCCCCATATCATGTACTGACCCCCCCCCCATATCATGTACTGATCCCCCCCCCCCCCATATCATGTACTGATCCCCCTCCTCCTTCTGTTTGCAGCGCCGGCTCAGGCTCAGATCATCCATGGCAGTCAGGCCTGTGTGGACAATAATGACAATGTGAGTGAGCGAGTCTACACCATCCGAGAGGGCGACACGCTGGTGCTGCAGTGCCTGGTCAGCGGACATCCCCGACCGCAGGTACCATCCTCATCCGCAGGCTTCATCCTCATCCAATCATAGACCTTCCACGGCAATGCATTCTCAGGTCGTTGAGGTTCATTACGTGACCATCAAGATTCGGATAAAACTTTCCTTGTTCAGGAATTCGGATGTATCTGAATGTAACGAATCCCAAATAATTATAACTCAACAAATTATACGAATTTGAAAATGAATTAGAAAAAAAAATGTATTCAAATTTGAAAGTGCATTCGAATTGGAAATGGAAACATATTGTAATAAAGACGGTAATGTATACATGTGAAATAAGATGATGATTCCTACTTAGGCTGCTGTATAGAATAGGATAGAAGAGAATAGAATAAAAAAACAGAACAAAAAAAAAAAGAATAAAACTGAATAGAATAATATTGAATGGAAAATAAAAGAATAAAATAGGATATAAAGGAATAGAATAGAACAGAATAGAATAAAACAGAATAGAATAATATTGAATGGAAAATAAGATATAAAGGAATAAAATATATATATTTTTAATAAGAAGCGTGTCCTACTTACCTGCTCTGTGCTGTAGTTTTGCACACAGCTGCTCCCAATCCTCTTCTGTTTGGGTCCCCTCCCGGCGCTCCAGGCTCCTCCCCATTAGGCAGAGAAAGCTGCTTGCCCCGAGCAGGGCCGTCTTGACAGCATCATGGGCCCCTGGGCAAAGTAATGCACTGGGGCCCCTACCAGCCTGCCCCAATTTTCGCTCCTACTCTCAAGAACTAAAGTATAAATAGTTGATGGAATTAAACATCGATTTCTTAGTACTTTCAATAAAATTGATTTTAATTAATAATAAAACGTGCCATAAATCAAAGGCTAATCAACACAAAGGGGGGGGGGGGCAGAAGGGCACAGTACAGGGGAGGGAGGCAGAAGGACACAGTACAGGGGGGAGGCAGAAGAGCACAGTACAGGGAGGAGGCAGAAGGGCACAGTACAGGGAGGAGGCAGAAGGGCACAGTACAGGGGGGAGGCAGAAGGGCAAAGTACAGGGGGGGGGAGGCAGAAGAGCACAGTACAGGGGGGAGGCAGAAGAGCACGGTGCAGGGGGGAGGCAGAAGAGCACAGTACAGGGGGGGGCAAAAGGGCACAGTACAGGGGGGAGGCAGAGGGGCACAGTACAGGGGGAGGGAGGCAGAAGGACACAGTACAGGGGGGAGGCAGATGGGCACAGTACAGGGAGGGGGCAGGGGGGGGGGGCACAGTACAGGGGGGAGCAGAGGGGCACAGTACAGGGGGGAGGCAGAGGGGCACAGTACAGGGGGGAGGCAAAAGGGCACAGTACAGAGGGAGGCAGAAGGGCACAGTACAGGGGGGGGAGGCAGGCAGAAGGGCACAGTATGGGGGGAGGCAGAAGGGCACAGTATGGGGGGAGGCAGAAGGGCACAGTACTGGGGGAGGCAGAAGGGCACAGTATGGGGGGAGGCAGTACAGGGGGGGAGGCAGAAGGGCACAGTACTGGGGGAGGCAGAAGGGCACAGTATGGGGGAGGCAGAAGGGCACAGTATGGGGGGAGGCAGAAGGGCACAGTACAGGGGGGAGGCAGAAGGGCACAGTACAGGGGGGCAGAAGGGCACAGTACAGGGGTAGGCAGAAGGACACAGTACTGGGGGAGCAGAGGGCAGAAGGGCACAGTACTGGGGGGAGGCAGAAGGGCACAGTACAGGGGGAGGCAGAAGGGCACAGTACGGGGGTAGGCAGAAGGGCACAGTACAGGGGGAGGCAGAAGGGCACAGTACTGGGGGAGGCAGAAGGGCACAGTACTGGGGTAGGCAGAAGGGCACAGTACTGGGGGAGGCAGAAGGGCACAGTACTGGGGGAGGCAGAAGGGCACAGTACTGGGGGAGGCAGAAGGGCACAGTACAGGGGTAGGCAGAAGGGCACAGTACTGGGGGGAGGCAGAAGGGCACAGTACAGGGGTAGGCAGAAGGGCACAGTACTGGGGGAGGCAGAAGGGCACAGTACTGGGGGAGGCAGAAGGGCACAGTACAGGGGGGAGGCAGAAGGGCACAGTACTGGGGGAGGCAGAAGGGCACAGTACGGGGGAGGCAGAAGGGCACAGTACAGGGGGAGGCAGAAGGGCACAGTATGGGGGGAGGCAGAAGGGCACAGTGCAGGGAGAGGCAGAAGGGCACAGTACAGGGGTAGGCAGAAGGGCACAGTACTGGGGGAGGCAGAAGGGCACAGTACTGGGGGGAGGCAGAAGGGCACAGTACGGGGGTAGGCAGAAGGGCACAGTACAGGGGGAGGCAGAAGGGCACAGTACAGGGAGGAGGCAGAAGGGCACAGTACAGGGAGGAGGCAGAAGGGCACAGTACAGGGGGGGGGGGAGGCAGAAGGGCACAGTACAGGGGGGAGGCAGAAGGGCACAGTACAGGGGGGAGGCAGAAGGGCACAGTACAGGGGGGAGAGGCAGAAGGGCACAGTACAGGGGGGGGCAGAAGGGCAGAAGGGCAGAAGTCCAGGGCACAGTACTGGGGGAGGCAGAAGGGCACAGTACAGGGGGGGGGGGAAAGGCACAGCGGAGGGGGCTCAGCTGAAGATTGTGAGGGGGGGGGGGGGAAGGGCACAGTGCAGGCAAAGAATACAGGGAGGAGCAGAAGGGCACATAAAGGTAACAAACAGGGGGAGGCATCGAGTCTTTAGAACCTCTTTAGAAAATAAAAGAACAAACAGAATAAAATAGAAGAGAATAAAATCGAATAAAAAAAAGAATAGAATAGAAATAACAAGAATAGATGAGAATAGAATGAATATAGCCATCTTGTGAATCTCGAATCGATGTAAAAAAAATAACGAAACAAATCCGAATATGAAAAACATATTCCAAAAAACGAATCGTTCGAAGATAACGAATGTTAACGAACAAAATGATTAACTTAACGAATGAATCTGAAATGAAAGCCGTTTTTCTGTTGTCCACATCTCCAG